TTTTATGTGGTGCCGAGGATAGAACCCAGTACCTCACACATGCTAGGCAAGAGCTCTACCACTGAGCCACAACCCTTGCCCCTCAACAAATATTTGATTGACAACTAGGTAATAGGTCCCTGATATACAGTGGTGAAAAAATAGACAGTCTATACTCAGTTGTAGTCTACAGCCTAGTGAGAGAACAGATATTAAAAAGTTAATATACTGGGATTGGGGCTGTAGCTCAGTGGCAGAGTTCTTGCCTAGCACGTGTGAGGCACTGAGTTTGATCCTCAGCACTGCATTAAAAAATAAACAAAATAAAGGCATACTGTCCATCTACAATTACAAAAAAATTTATAAAAAATGTAAATATACTAATATATAATACAAATTGAGATGGATGTTATGAGGAAAATATACAGGCTGTTATAAGCAAGAATAATAAAAGGGGGGCTGGGGTTGTGGCTCAGTGGTAGAGCACTCACCTAGCAAGTATGAGGCACTGGGTTCAATCCTCAGCATGACATAAAAATAAACAAAAAAACAGAGATATTGTGTCCATCTACAACTAAAAAAAATGATAAAAGGGAGGGGCTGGGGATGTGGCTCAAGCGGTAGCGCGCTCGCCTGGCATGCGTGCGGCCCGGGTTCGATCCTCAGCACCATATACAAACAAAAGATGTTGTATCCGCCGAAAACTAAAAAAAAAAAAATATATATATATATATATATATATATATATATACATATATATATATATATATTAAAATTCTCTCTAAAAAAATAAAATAAAATAAATAAAAGGGACTGATTTTGACTGAATTTTAGAGTGACATCTTTAAGGAGGTAATAGTTATTTAACTTGAAGGATGAGAAATCCAGATAGAGGGAAACTATATTGTGTAGGTACTTTTCAAGAAAATGAAAGAGGGCCAGGCTAGGACTAGTTACTGTAAAGCCTCACACACTTGTGGTAGAAAATTGGGTTTCTATTCCAAGTATTTTCTATTCCAAGTATAACAGGAAACAGAAACCTAATATGATCAATTATATATAAGTATCATTGTCTATATTGGATCTAAAGAATGGATTGGAGAGGGTAAAGGGTGGAAAAAGATGTTAGGAAATTATTGTCATAGTCCAGGCAATTGATAATAGGAGCTTTGATTAGGTGGAAGCAGTAGAAATGGAAAGTATTGGGTTAGAGATACATTTTGGATACAAAAAACAATAGGTTTTGCTCATGAACAGAGCTAGAGTTGGGTGCAGGAGTAGAGAGAGGGAAAGGGAGGAATTAAGGAAAATTCCTAAGTTTCTGCCTTGAGCAACCAGGTACCAAGACTGGGAATAAAAGAGATTGGGAGAAAAATCAAATTATAGTAAGTTTGTGATATTCTACAGAGAAATCAATACACAAACTGGAACTTAGGACAGTTCTAACCTAGAAATATAATTTAGCAACCATCAGCATAGAGATGGTATTCAAAGCCAAGAAGTGGATGAAATCACCTTAGAGGGACTAAAGTGAATTCCAGTATTCAGAAATGGGTCGACGAAGGTGAACAAAGATAGAACCAGTGGCTAGAATGTAGGAAGAAAATGAAGTGTGTTACAGAAGCCAAAAGAGGGCTTCCAAAGGGAACAGATTGGCCAATTGTATCATAACCTATTAAGATTTGATAATCCAGAGGTTGGTGGGTGGCCATGATCAAAACTATTTAGAGAGCTGTTGAGTGGGAATAGATATGGAAATAGCACAGAGAACTTTGAGATGCTGACTATGAAGACAAGCAAAGAAACTGAGCATTAGCTGGAGAAGAATGTGGGGTCTGAAAAGGGATTATTATCTTTTTAATACATAAGGTATTAAATCATATGATATGCAGTAATACTACAAAGATGGCAATGCGAGGCTTGGTGGTACACACCCATAGTATAAGACCATGCTGAACAACATAGCAAGACCCCATCCATGCATGATGGTGTACACCTGTAATTCCAGCAGCTTGGGAGGCTGAGGCAGAATCTCAAATTCAAAACCAGCTTTAGCAATTTAGTGAGACTATAAGCAACCTAGTAAGACTGTGTCTCAAAAATTTTTTTTAAAGGGGGAGAGGGTTGGGGATGACTCAGTGGCTAAGCACCCCTGAGTTCAACTCTGATACCAAAATAGAAGAAAAATTTAAAAAAAAAAAAGGATGTTGGGGGTAGGATGAAATTGAAGGAATTAATAAATAGGAGAGGGATCAGTCAGATCCAGAGCACATTAAGGAACTAGACTCAATACAGGTCACTTGTTCAATTTGAAAAGAAATTGGATAATCAGGTAGGTTTGTAGATTTGGGGCTTCTGTTTATTCTCCAGTGCATCATATTGGTATTCAAAAAAACAAGATTTCAATGATTAAAGTGCTTGCCTAGCACGTGAGAGGCACTGGGTTTGATTCTGAGCACCGCATATAAATAAATGAATAAAATTACAGTTCATCAACATCTAAAAAATGTATTAAAAACTTTCATCATTTCAGTTGAAAATGAATTGTTATTATTTAGCATTTTAAGGAATATTTCTCATTTATACTATATTTCCTTCTTCATTTAGGGGCCACTGTATTTTGTGTTGCTCCAAATGCAGTATTTCCCTTTGAACTGTACAATGAAGAGTACTTACAACAAAGGGATCTCTATCTGACTCAGTGCCAGAAACAGCTCCAACAGTTTATTGCCACATATGGACCTGGAACAGCTGTTTTCACTAATGATGAATAAGCAATTTGAGAAAAATTTCCTTTTGATTTCAACTTCAGCAATGGGAGAGTGTATTTGAGTAACTTTAAAGTAATGCTTCAGATAGTACTCTATACAGGAGTACATCAGAATGACATTTAAAAAACAAACCATGGTCCCCACAAAAATCAACTGCTACTGGGATATACACTAATCCAAACTTATAAAACAAATTACCAAAATTTCAAATTTTAGGAGAGAAATGTGGATGATTAAGATGATGAAGTCACCAAAGAGAATCCTAAGTTTCTGGTTAGCCCAGTGTATGTGATTAAAAAAAAAAAAAAAAAAGAACCTTACAATGTGAAAAATGGTTAACCTGGAATTCACTCTATTTGTCATAAGATGGCAATAACCTTATTTACAAAGTTTTTAAAAAATATTTTTTTAGTTGTAGTTGGACACAATACCTTTATTTATTTTTATGTGGTGCTGAGGATCGAACCCAGGGCCTCGCACATGCTGGGTGAGCGCTCTACCACTGAACCACAACCCCCAGCCCCCTACAAATGTTTTTTAAATATTATTTGCTTGTAATTTTTATTTTTTTTAATATTTTTAGTTGTAGTTGCATAAAATATCTTTATTTATTTTTGTGTGGTGCTGAGGATCGAACCCAGTGCCCCACATGTACAAGGCAAGCGCTCTACCACTGAGCCACAATCCCAGCGCCCCCTACAAATTTTTAAGCCATTTTTTTTCCCTTATACTTGTGAACCTGGTGAATTGATTAACTAATTTGTATAACCTGAAGCTTCAAATTTAAGGCCTTTTTAGGGCTGGGGTTGTAGCTCAGTGGTAGGGCGCTTGCCTAGCATGCATAAGGCACTGGGTTTGAGTCTCAGTACCACACATAAAGGTCCATCAACAACTAAAAAAATTTTTTAATTAAGGCCTTTTCAGCTTATACACATATGCATTACATGAACATTGTTTTAGAAGCCCTAAATTTGGAGTCGGAAAAGCCTTTGAAATTTCTATATATAAACAACTGTGATAAAAAAAAAAAAATGTAACCAGAGAACAAGTTTGCCTCTAACTTTAAGGTTCCCTAATGCAATGAAATCAATATGCAAACCCATTCTTCATTTTTATGTATTGTTGAAGTGAGGGCATGTCTTACTCCATCTAGGCTGATCTCAAATACCAGAAGACATAATCCTCCTGTTTGCCAGCAGCCTGGCATTGAGAGTTACATTCTTTGACCATTTTGGTTTTTGTGACAAGGTCTCCTTGTCACCCAGGCTGGCCCTCAACTTCAGTAACTGCTACTCATTTTGCTCTGAATAAGTAGGGACAATAAAATCTTCCAATCCTTTTCAGTTCTAATTACTTCTACTTGCTGGGTGCACACCTCCAAGCAGCTCAGGAAGTTGAGGCAGGATTGAAAGTTCAAAGCCAGCTTGAGCAAAAGTGAGGTGCTAAGGAACTCAGTGAGACCCTTGTCTCTAAATACAAAATAGGGCTGGGGATGTGGCTCTGTGGCCAAGTGCCCCAGAGTTCAATCCACAATACCCACCCCCCAAGAAAAATTATTTCTACTCAAAGAATGAAGAATGTATCACACCAAGAGCCACCTTATTAACAAAGATCTAATTCTTCGAAACTGACAATCCAGGGCTGGGGTTGTGGCTCATTGGCAGAGCCTTTGCCTAGCACAGGTGAGGCATTGGTTTGAACCTAAGCACTTCATTAAAATAAATAGATAGATGGCTAAGCTAGTTTTCAACAAAATATATAATACTGTTGCTAACTAAGAGCCTTGTTTTGTGCCTTTTCATGTACTATATATATTTCACTTTTCTGGCTCTGTGGGGTGAGGCAAAGCCATACCTTAGATCAATACAACAGACTCAGCTTATAGGGGAAAAAAGCAATTTTTAACTTATAAAAGACAGCTTAATTGATATTTAGCACTAAAGGAGTTTAGAAGATTCCAATCAGCCATTTTTCAGGCACCATAGCCATTACTATCTTCCCAGCTGCCTACAGTGACAGTCACTATCCACAGATGAGCTACTTAATTAACAAGAACTATATCAAAGTATGTTAAAACACAGAAGTGATGAATGAGTAGGAGAAAAAAACTATTTAAAAAGAAAACAATATTGCCAAGAGCAATTAAAAATTGTCACACATGTATTTTACCACATAATTTATTGTTTATTAATATCAAATAAAAATTTCAGTTTGTTTCTATTTGTTTTCTTCATAAATTCTTTTTTTTTCCTTTCACAATGTTGCATGCCACACCTCTGGAAAATAAGAAAGCAGCAGTGAAAATCACTTTTACCCAAATTCAGAAACTCAAGCTCAATATCTTAAAAAAAAAAAAAAATTAATGCTGAGAAAAGGAAAATACACCCCAGATATGCAAAGGCAACTTAAAAAGAAACTGGTCCCAGTCTTTTGGAGTTCAAATGCTTCTGAGCCATCAAAATATGTGGTGCTTGAGGCTGGATTTAGCTCAGTTGGTAGAGCTTGCATGCACAAAGCCCTGGGTTCAATCCCCAGCACCACAAAAAAAAAAAAAAAAAAAAAAAAAAAAAGGAGAGAATAAGAATAAAGGATGTGGTGATTGAGAAGTCACACTTACTTGAGGCAAGGATGTATTTTTAAACACTACATCAAAAGGACTGGAGCATTCATTGATAGCTGCCTATATGCAGAAGAGAAAGAGAAAGAACATTTCACTCATTTCAACGAAAACAGTTTAATATTTCAGTAATTCACATAATCAATATATATTACTGGCACCTCAGTCTTAAAATTATTTCTTCAAAGAAAACCCTCAGCTGGGTAAACGGCAAAAATTTGTCATCACTGTGCCAGCAGTTAAATCGATCTATGTCAAGAATATATTACACATTTTGGTTTAGTTAGACTATCACAAAGAAAAAGAAAAGCACACACTATGGTACCGTGTTACATGTCAAATGTGGTCCTACTCATTTTCTTCAGTCATCTTCTATGACAAGTTTTGAAGAGCATTTATTCCAACCATCTGCATACATCTTCATGCCACTAGATGTTGTACCTAGAAACAAAAATATTCAATTGTAAATTCTCATACTTCTATTTGGCACCTTATGTGTGGCGAGAGTCCAATGAGAATTTCATTCTTGTCAGAAGCATAAACACAATCATATTTTACAAACTAGCTCTCAAGTCATAATTCCATAAATCAGATTCTTTACAAGCTAGAAATGTTGAGTTATTAGCAAGGGAAGGAAAATCTGCAGAAACTGTTTTTTAATAACTGTGGCAGCAGTATTGATTTTAAGACAGGATGGACTCTTGTGAGTATCAAAGCCATTGCTTTTCTGTCTCAAAGCATGACAGGATGAACTATGAGCAAGGGTAAAGGTTAGATGTACAGAAAAAAAGTGTGCAGACCTTCATCTAAAAACATTACAACGGCAAATCTAGTAGTTTTAGGGCAAGGATACCTATGTTGGCAAGTTGACTGAAAGTGCACTAAGTAGTGCTAAGGAATGGGCAGAGTCACAAATCATGTCCTACAGCACCCCAAGAGGATAAATCACTGAATCAGACAGCTACTGGAAATGATTTATGAAGACATGTAAAACTGGAACTTGCAAAACAATATATCGATTCCAAGTCTTTGTTTCACACAATCAATATTAGGAAAACAATATAAACTTGGTAAAGAATAGTTCCAAAATGAAAAATTGTTTAATTTACAAAGAGTAGGTAACTACATGCATTTTTAAAACTTAGCGAAGATCTAGAAAAGCATGTTATTAACGAAATTGCAATCTTCATCACTCCCTCAAACAACAACAAAACACCCCAGACTCACAAAATTCCAGATGGTGAGTACCTGTGGGTGGAAGGCAGGAAGCAAACAGCAACTAGTGGGATATGTTTATGAATATTTAGCTTTTTAAAGAGGTAACATGCTTTTTCCTAATCTCCCAGCTGTAGACTGGAATCTTCTGTGTAATGTCCAGAAATACACATTTCCATGTAAACACAAGATCTTTGTGTACAGTAGGCATTTTTGGCCCAAAGGCCTTCCATACTTCCACGTTCTGTTACCCAGCTTCAAAGCCTTTTATATTTACAAGGGCGATTCATGAACAAATGCCAGAATTCTACAAATACGTTGAGATCAGTGGTTAAGCGGCGCTTACTGCTTTTTCCAAACCCCTCGATTTTGTACGGTTAAGTGTCTTTAGCATTTAAAATTAAATAATCTTTATAAAATGCCCCCTTAAGGAAAATGAAACCGCCCACTCAAGGGAGCCTGAAACCTCCAAAGTCGAGCTTTGCTGGTGACTAAGGGGAATCGGTCGAAGGTGCGGGGGTGGGGGAGTGGGGGGTTACGATGCCGCAGGACGTTCCTTCCTCAGCTCTCCCCGGTCACAGAAGACCCATTCGAAACCGGTGTTTACTGTGGAATAAGATCAACTAAGGCCCGCAAGTAGTTACTTATAAAACGCAACTACGCGAACCGCACGAAGGGAACTCGCCAGGCCACGTCCACAGGGAGGAGCGTTACCTCCTGCGCCCAGCCCGCGGCCGCAGAATGCTCGGTGCTCTAGGGTAAAGCACCGACGCGGCCGGCACCCACAGGGCGGAGGAACTTGGTACGAAAGAGAGGAGAGACTAAGATCCCGAGGACTCTCACCTCGAAGAACCCGGCACCGGGCCCACAGGCTCCTTTCCCACGGGCCACCATGGCGAAAGCACACCTCCCATTCTCCGCGGCTGCGCGGAAAAGGAAGAGGTGCGAAACCGCACAGCTCTTAGGGACCGGTCCTGGTCCCGCCCCTTCCGGCTCTGGGCCCCGCCCCTCCGTGGGGCTGTAGTGAGAGTAGGGGAGGCAGTACTTGTGCAGTCATGCAATCTGGGTGTCTCTGCAGGTGTTCAGCTGTGTAAGCTTTTATTGGGGGACTTTGTAACTTCCCTAGAGGCCTTTAAGGCCCATGAATACCTCAGCTAGGGTTATTATATTGAATATGCAAATGATGAAGTTACAGGTTTATAATAATGCTCTAAAAAAGAAGGGTCTCCTGTTCATAGTACCTATGTTTGCTTGGTGTTCTGTACCCTCATATATTTCAATATTTAAAAAATTGGTGTTGCTGGGGGTGGTGGCGCACACCTTCAAAACAATTCAAAGCCAGCCTTAGCAATTCAGGGAGACCCTGTTCTCTAAATGAAACATTTTAAAAGGGCTGGGGATGCAACTCAGTGATTAAGTGCCCCTGGGCTCAATCTCCCTACCCAAAACAAAACAAAACAAAACAAAATTGGTGGTCTTGGATAGCCCCATTTAGAGTAAGCATTCTGGGATTGCTTTTACACACAGGGAAAATAAGTTACCAGAAAAAGGAGAAGCTGTAATATATTTTCTCTATAATAGTAGCTACAATTATTACTGTTTTTATTGGTAATTGCAAGGGTCCGGCGAAACGTCAGAGGAAAGGACCACAAGAGACTGTCTTATGCAACAGCAGAAGGGAGGGTTTATTTGGAGACCAGCATACTGGGGCTCAGAGCTCACTATAGCAAAGAGAGAGAGAGCCCTGAGAACAGCTTAAGCAGAGCTTATATACTTTCCTTGGAGAGGACAGGGAGAGAAGTTACATTTTGTAGTTTGGCAGTTGGGGACAGCTCATTCTGGGAACAAGATTAGCAAACAGTTCACAGTTGGGGACAGCACATTCTGGGAACAAGATTAGCAAACAGTTATTAAGATTTCAACAGTGTTTTGTTAAGCATATAGAAAAATGGAGTGACAAGTACCTATTTTGTTAACCTTTCATTCCCCACTTCTTCTTCTGGCTACTTTTAATCATAAAAGTGATCATTGGAGGGTGTCACATTTTATGTCTGTTAGTGGGGTATATTGTTGTCTGATTACCATAAGTTTGATTTGTCCAATTTGGGCTTGGAGAAAGGAAACTACACGGTTGAGCAAACAGGGTCCTAGAGTTAGCAACAATATAAGAATTATTAAAGGACCGGCCAGGGCTGATAAAAGTGTAGTTAACCAGGGGGACTGTGTGAACCAAGACTCATACCACCCTTTTTGGGCCTCTCTCTCTTGCTGACGCTCTTTAAGGCGTCTTTTTAATTTACTTATAGATTTTTTTACAACTCCAGTATGGTCGGCATA